GAAAGGTAAAGCAAAAAGCAGGCAGAGGCCAAGTCCTCACAAGAAAAACTCTGTCGAGGTTTTGGGGGAGAGTTATGACATAAAGCAGAGTTTCCCATCTCTGAATGCTCAGTGCAATGTTCTCAGAGCTCTCTGTGCACTCACAAAGGGAGTACAGTGATTTTAAGCTAATTTCCACTGATTACACAAAGAATTCCACATTGACAATATATAATTTGCAAAACAGCAAACTTTTTAAAAACTAAAGAAGCAGAATGAAAAAGAAGAGAAAGAAAAAGATTAAAGGGGGAAAAAGGACAGGTGTGCTAACTTCCCAAACCAGAAGGAAACACTGCCGAAAGGTACACGCCTTTTACTGATCATTTTTTCCCTCTGATCAGCATGGGAGTTGTGACCTGCTCCATTTCCGACCTGGGCCAGTTCACCCCTCCTTAGGCAACCTGGTGGTCCCCCGCTCCCGGGAGGTCACCATACTGATGCCAAACTTAGTGCGGACACCCGATCAGCATAGCGCATTGCAGCCCAGAACTCCTGGACTCAAGCAATCCTCCCACCTCAGCCTCCCGAGTAGCTGGGACTACAGGCATGTGCCACACTCCCGGCCATGCTTCCCTCTGGACTCGCACCTGACCTACTCCATTCTTCTTTACATGGCGCACTTAGTCGCATCTAAGGTGATATGGCTGTAAGACACTATTTTATGTGCCAACAAGAAAGAAAAGAAAACAGGCAGTCAGAAAGCCCCAGCAAGTGAGAGTTGCATCTCAGTTTTGGGGTTGCAGAAAGAGGGAGGGGTCATACTTCAAAGTGACTACTTAGGCTTGCTTCGGGTCTCCAGTTATTAAAACCATTTCCCAACAGCTTTTAAAGAACGTTCTTTCCCCCCAGGGTTGAGGTGTAACCAGGCAAATACTCTACCCGTGAGTTATGTCCCTAGAGTGCAGTTTTATACACCCTGAGAAATTACCTTGACAAAAAGTTCACTTGCTTGCCAAAATCAATATGTACAGAGCTCTATTTTGGGAAGTGTCAGAGTTCTTGGAACAATACAGTACAATAGGATCATCCTTGCCCTTGGGAACATGCAACAAAGATGTTAATAAAAACACACACGTATGATGAGGAGCTGTGGTGAGCGTGTGAGAAAAGACGCAGGGCACTGTCCTCTCTGGGGTGGCTCTGAGAGCTCAGTGGACATCACATCACATCACCATTTTGCGGGGTCTGTGGCCCCAGGGAACCTTAGAAACGTCAGCTGACACGGTATGGGACTCAAAGGGCAAAGTCTTGTCTTGCTCACCTGCCCACCTGTCACAGTTAAGCCAGAGGATGGCTGTGTAGGTGTTGGGCATCCATGGGTGAAAGCCATTCAAGGTAATCGCTTCACCCTCAATCACTGTGAGGACGAAAGGGAACTCACAGTCTCCTGAGCTCATACCCACACCTCTCTGACAGTAAACGGAATGGGAGGGACTCCAGCACACATCACATAGGCCTTCCCAGGGGCAGCAGCCAAGCTAAGCAGGTAACACACAGCAGTGACCGCGATCATGTGCACATCACAGGGGTGAGACGAGCAAGGCCTGAGGGCTCCTCTCTGGTCCTTGGGTCATTCACAGCACTCCACCAAGAAAAACAGAGGAAAATCTCAGAGCGTGCAGCGCCGTCCCTGTGGCTGTGTTTATTACTCTGTTCCGTGATTCAGCAGACAGTGTTGAACTTCTGGGGTTATAAAGAGCCAAGGCCAGCAGTCTTGTTGTTTTATCTTATTGCTAAGTCAGTGTCTGGTCTCCAGAGGTCTCCACCCTCATCTGCAGTCCCACTGACCCTAACCTCCGACGATCTGCTGTGAATGGGAGCTGTAGAGCATCCTCCCTCCGGCAGGTACGCAGAAGCCCCCCATCAGCCGCCCTGTCCTCCGTGCACCACGGACCACCATCCTGAAACCCGCCGTAGGCAGGAGCACAGCCGCCAGGAGAACCCATGTGCTGCACGGCAACTCAGGCTCCCCTTTCCAAGGCAGGCAGAGGAGGATAGGGTGGCTGCAGGCTGCAGGGGGAATAGCCTGGTATAATGCCCACTGCCACAAATAGTGCGGGTGGAAAAGAAGAAAAAGCACATTTTTCATTTGTATTTTCTAAAGGCAGAATTTAATGCTGAAAATATCATGAAAAGTGCATCAGATGTTCCCATTTTAAGTGAGAAGAGACAAAGTATTTTGAAATTAAAAATTGACTTGGCAAAGTGCCACTGCCGGCTCCCGCTGCCGCTTCACAGAGCAGCTGTCCCTGGGGAAGGATGAGGCACCCGGAAGACGTGCTTCTGACCAGGGAAGTCTGGGGCAAAGCCCCGCCAGCTGCTGTCGGTGAGCATCGCGGAGGAAGCAGGGACACTCCACGTGGGTGACCCCTATCGAGCCGGAAGAGGAGAACTGCGGCTGAGTGTGGCCTCCTCGTACGTCAGGGCCTGGGCAAAGCGTCGCCACCTTGGCCCCGTCCTGGTCCTGACCCTGCTGACTAGCACCGGCCCTGCCAGACGGGCGAGCTCATCAGGCCGTGGAGGAAGGCACCTCTGCGCCTCCCCTGGCCACTCCCTCTCACAGCTCCCATGACCGACAGCGACAGCTCAGCTGCCACAGCTGCCTCTCACACCGGCACCGGTGCGTGTGAGCACTGTGCTCGCAGGAAGAGGCCAAAGTGACCTGAGTACCAACCCTGGGCAGACGCAGCGCTGGGGAAATGGACAATTTCTTCACAAGCCCTGCTTCCCAAGGAGACACCATGCGAAGTGCTCCACACAAGCAAGCAGGCTCTCCCTCACACTGGAGAGAGTGGGAGCACAGTGCAGCCCTTGCCTGCCCAGCCCTGGGCACGCGACCGTCTGGGCGACATCCCGCAGCTCCACGTCCGCTGGGCACGAGGGGCCTGAACCCCACACGCGGTCCCCGGCTTGGCTGTAGGCAGCTCCAGAAGACACCGTCACTCACAGCGCTCCCCGGCCTTCATCTCCGCTGTCTCACCTTCGGCAGGACTTGTCTGCAATGACCCACCTGTGGGTTACAGCTTCATCACAAGGATTCATCTCCCCGGCCGATACGCAGATTCCTCGGACGTGGGACAGGAGCGGTCTCGTGTCCCCAGTACCCACCTCAGTGCCTGGTGTGCAGCAAGCGTGCCATCGAATATTTCAAATAAACAAATCAAGGGACACGTGGACCTGGAAACAGGGGTCTGTTCTGCCACCGCCCTGATGCTGGGATGAGCTTGCTCCTGGTTCCTGTGTCTCCAGAGAATGTGTGAGCACAGGCTGCCTCCCAGGCACACAGGCCCTCGGTCTCTGCCAGCCTGCGAACAGACTCAGAGCCCAGGCAGATCTGCAGTGACCCAGGCTCTTCTCCAGCCCGGCTCCAATCGAAGTGATCCTCCCCATCTTCCCGTCCCCATATTCCTGAGTCTCTGCTGCCTGATGGGGCTAGGCCCACATACAGAAGGGCTCCCCGGCCAGCAAGCCCAGCTCCACGGCAGGGACCCTTGCCCCCAGATTAGGACCCCAACTCAAATTCCTGCTAGAAACAGAAATACCTTAAGGCCTCCCGGTCTTAAGGTTGTGTAGGGAGGCATACAAAACACTCTCGTGGCATTTTCTACATGCAGAATAAAAGCATGCTTCCCTCTACTCTGCACCCACACTGAGAAAATAATTATCCAACATACAGGATGAGGCTATGCCCCTGAAGACCCCGGCAAAGTGCACGCTGTCCCTGTGTCCCACAAAATAGTGTCCTGTTTTGAAAGTCGTTTCCTGCCACCCAGCCAACTGCTGAATGTCAAATTCAACAAAAGTCAACAAGAAAACCACTGCCAATCATCTCCAGGCCCAGGAATGTTCTTTCTCATAGCCAACACAAGGGAAGAGGGGCAGAAAAGATAAAAATCTAAGCTGTTTACCACCTGTATGTTTATATTTCTGCTTTGTTATGAAATGAAGCAAAAAGCACACTTAAATGGCGCTCCTTGGTGGGAAGCCAGGTTCCTTCCAGTCAGTTCAGATCAGAGGCTGCCTGGGTGGGCAGAAGATCTACAAACTGAAAGGTGTAGGTTCATGTGCGTTTGCAACACAGCATCCAACATTCAACTGCAGGGCAGCTCTTCTGGAAACGCCCGATCCCATCCCTAGGGGACGCCGTGGGGGCTCCAGGGACTGAGGCGGCGCTCAGAGCAGCCCATGCGCATTTGGCAGCAGGATCAGGTCAACAAAGTGAGCCCAGGGCAGCTTTTGGAACAAAACCCTGTGCTGAGCCCCGCCATGGCTGGGTGGCAGTGGCCTCTCACTGCATGCTTAGTGGCATCCAGCACAGTCCTGTGCTTTACCTGCAGAAATTCACGTCTCCCCCAACAGCCCTCGAGCACCGTTATCGCTTCCCACGTGGATCAGAGCAGCGAGGCACAGAGATGTCTGCCCACCCTCGCCACTTGGCCGGAGCACTGGCTGGCTTCGCAACACCGAGGTCCGCTCTCCAGACAGCAGAGCACTGTCAGAGCCAGGCCCATTCACTGCAGACAGCTCTAGCAAGAGGGCAACGCATCCGAAGCTCTTGGGAAGGCCTGTGGAGCGAGAACGTGTGGGGCTGGAGATGGGTGGGCAGAGCTCCTGATCCCACGGGGACAAGTGGCTCCTCAATGACCGCCTTCCAAAGGCTCCAGCATCAGCCCCCAGCTTACAGGAGGGGGCACAGGGGCACCATCGGTGACCTGAGCTCGTGAGCTTTTGACACAGAGTGAAATCAGTCTCATCAACAGCACCGTCCTCAGAGGCAGATAAGAAACTTTCAACCCACAGAAGCTGGCGCCCCCTCTACCCACGCTGTGCCCCAAGCTGTCCTGTTGCTGATTTCCCACCAATGACAAGAACCACGAGTCTCCTCTTAGAACCCCCCCGGGGGGGCTCTCAGCAGCGAGCTGTGTCCCTGAGGGCTGGGAGGGTAGACATAGGGGACCCACCTCCACCAGTTCCAGACCTGGCTGTGCCAGACTCGGAGATGGGCTGACGACGGCCTCCAGCCCAGGCAGCCTCCACAGACCCCAGGTCCCTCCTCACGGGCCCCAAGCCAGAAGCCCCAGCGTGCAGAGTCAGCTTCATGCTCTTGCTCCTCATGGTGAGGGGGATGCTGAGCCCTGGCCACGACTGCAGGACACATCCATTCTCCCCACCGCTCCGTCCACCTAATCCGGCCACACACAGCCTCTGTAGCTGCTCCCAGACCACCTCCACCTCTCCCTTCAGCCTTGTCTCCGGTTCACACTGCCGGTGACGTTCCTCCCTGCACTCGGGTGCACCCGACACACCACCCCTCTTGAGGCCTCCAGACCGTCCCGAATGCCTCTTATCTCTAAGGGGCTGTGCCCACCGTGCCAGCACCAGGCAATGCTGGTGTCCAGACTCCACCCTGTGCCTGTTCCAGGCTGCCCACTGCCTCTGGACAACCACAATCCCTCTCCTGGCTTCAATTATTAATGAGTTTTTAAAACCCCAGTCACTACCACACCCAGCAGGAAAGACTGAAATGAGTGTTGGTCCAAGATAAAGACAAATGCTTTGCTTTTGGCAGCTCCTGCAGTCTCTGAGGAGGAACTGTCCCTTCCACAGGCAGCACAGCACCGCCCACCATAGGGCAGGAAGGTCCGAGCTGGATGGCTGCCCAGTCTGGAGGGGGCAGGGATGACCCAGAGGAGGACCAGAGACCCAGGGGACATGAGACACAGCTCAGATGGCATGAGCTGAGCCTCGACAGGCAGGGAAGGTGGCGCCACACCCTGAGGCTGCAGCCAGGCCCCAAACACCATGGTGCTCAAACAGGCAGATCCTCTGGCCACGGCTGCTCCCAAGGCAAGGGCCAAAGGACAGCAGGACATTGGGCGTCGGGGGGCAGCTTGTGAGGAGGCACAGACAGCAGACTCCTCCATCGGTGGAGTATTTGTTTGGTTTTCTTGGTCCTGTGATTGAACCCAGGGGGCACTTTACCACTGAGCTACATCCCCAGCCCTCTCTTTGGTTGTTTGGGCTGTTTTGAGGCAATGCCTCACTGTGTTACCCAGGCTGGCCTCCAACTTGCAATCTTCCTGCCTCGGCCCCTCAAATAGCTGCTGGGATGACAGCAAGCATTTCATTTCTGCTCTCCTCCTGTATCTGCGCACTGTCATGTCTGGTGTGGGATGTGTGCTCTAGAAGTCTGTCTCTTGCCGAGATCTGCCGCAGCAGCAGAGCCAGGCACTCGTGGTCTGGTCTCCGCCTGTGTCACTGTGCAGTGGCTTCCCCTCTGCGAGAACAGTTCAGCCATGGCCAGGCGCCTAAGGGAGGCAGTGCTAGGGGTGGGGGCTCAGCACAGGCAGGGGGCGGTGCCAGCCTTGTCTGTATGCAGAGAGCAAGTGATAGAGAGAACTCTTGTAAATAATCTAAAAACTTGAAAATGTTAGGAAAATGTAACATGACTTCTGCTGTCTCTAACAGCAATCTGCTTTGTTTAGTTCAAAATTAACAGACACTGGAGGCACTGACCATGAAGTGGGACATCTGGCCTCGTCCCTGACCTTGAACACCCGCTTCCTGTGTACCAGAATACATAGCTAGACAATCTTAACTACAACGTCTGGGTTAAAGTGAACCGTCTGCTTACTGTAATTTGTACACGGGTAATGTGAACTGAGGAAATGAAATGTAACCGCCTGAATGAGATCATGGCTGTAAAAATCTGAAAAAGGGGAAGCTGCAGCCCAGTAGGAGGTTGATCACCGGCACTGCCTTTTTGAGAGCAACCGACCTCTGCCTGGCAAAATAAACTTGTATTATTTTACTTCCATTCTGCGCTTTTCTGCATGTCACTTGCCAATTCCTTCCACAGCGTAGGAGGAATGCCGCGGGCATCCCTTTGCTGGGCTTGCTGCAGGGAGGGAAGCGCAGGTGTCAGATTCCCTGGCCGCCCCTGACCCTGCCCCTCCAGCATCCAGGGTGCAGGGGCAGCTGGAATTCGATGCTGACGGGACAGAGCTTTGTCACAGACAGCCCTGCCATGTCCCTCCCGGTGCCTCCGCCACAGCCACCAGCAAGTCACTGGAGCCTGGAGCAGGGCCTCCCTGGCTGGGGCGGCCCTCCCGAGGCTGGGTGGTGCCCTCCCACCCTGACTGACTGGGGACTGCAGGGGCAGAGGTGGGACAGTCAGCAGAACGGACAACAGCCTCCCCTCCCGCATCCGCTGTGGAAGACAGTCCCCAAAGCCTGGAGACTGCAAGGAGAACACCTCAGCTTCTCTGACAGTTTATCATGGGCGAAAGAGTTTAGATGCTAAGCCCAGCACCATGGCCCATCCCACTCTTGAGCCACTGTGGGCTCCAGACACCCGCTGAGCCTGAGCCTGCGGAGGAGTCCCCACTCACACATGGACTGAGCAGAGGAGACAGGCAGAACCAAAAGGCGCCTTCTCCGCACTGCCCTGGAGTGCTCTGTGACACCTGACTTACTGAGGGGTAAGATGTCCACATTACCACACTCACTGCTATTCCTGAGATGCAAGCCACTGTCAGATGTTTACTCCTGCACCCCAGTCCTGAAATAAGCGGAGAGATCGCTAGAAAAGAGGCCATCAGCCCTGGGCCACCTCCGCACAGCAAGTGGGCTGACTCACATCCGGCCACATGACCCCCAGGTCTGCAGGACCCCCTCCAGAGAAGGGACAGTGCTGCCTCTCATTCGCCACTGGAGAGATGGGGAAACTAAGTCAGCACCCGACTACTCCTGTGCCTGCTGTGGTGACAGCATCAAGCCCTTGGTGGCTTCCTCAGAGCAGGCCGGTTCATTCCCTGGTCATCATGGAGGTGAGGGCCCGAGTCCTTGCCCTGAGTACTGACACGCCAGCTGCCACACCGCTCTCCCTGAGATGCAGGTTCTCTACAGTACCAGCCACAGCTCTCCCCTTATGACCACCACCAGCACAGCTGCCATCTTAGGGCTTGGAAGAGGCCAAATGAAGAGCTGACAGAGCTCTCAGGAGTCACAGGGGACCATGGGCTGGGCAGGAGCGGAGGACTCAGGCCCAGAGCAGGCGTGGTGGAGGGGACAGCGGCTGGCAGCAGGATGAGCCCAGAAGCAGCTGTAGTTCACTCAGGACCCTCCCTCCGGAAATTCCCAGACAGAACCCAGGTTCTCGTGACTCCAGCCTGAATTCCAGGCTGGCTGGGTCACTTCCTGGGATGGAGGAGCTACGGGAGCTGCAGAAAACAGTGCAGGCTCAGAGGCAAGGAGGCTGGCAGCAGGGCCCAGTGGAGGCAGCACGGGAGCTCTGCTCATGCCTGGCACAGGTGCAGCAAGGGAGGCTTCCATCTGGGCTTGGAGGCCGGGAGCCAGGCCCATCGGGCCCCTCTTCTTCCTCCCTCTTCCTCTCAGAGCGAACTTGAAAGCCTCTTCACTGCAGCCCCTCCTCAGGGTGGGGAAGAGGAGGCTAAGCAGTGCATTTGCCACTTCCTGAGGTGCTTCTGTCACCCTGCGCCTGGATGTGAGCAGCTCCAGGGAGGGAGGAGCTCAGTTTCCTGCCTGGGGAGTGACGGCATCAGCGCTCCTCGGAGTCTACACGTCACAGCTTCTAAGCCCAGGACAGACCCCCCCACTGCTGTCTGGACTCCCGGTCACAGAGGGTGCTGGCTCCACGTGGGAGACCCCATCAGGAGGGCTCTGCTCAGTGGCTCCCACAGCAGCCTCAACCTTGCCAGCAGAGGGAGGTGCCACAGGGACAGGAGCAGAAGGACCACCCAGGAGCTGCGACCTGGCCTGCAGAGACAGCAGCTCTGGTCCAAACCCTCGTGACACCAAAACCTGTGCCTCGGCCCCTCCCTCCAGCACCCCAACAATTGGCTTGCTCTCTTTAAAACATCTGAAAGCCTACATTTTTTTATGGATTCAGAGGACCAGAGAAATATGGTCACTTGGCATGACTATTTCCACCACCTTTCCCTTTAAGTGAAGAACTCAAACCAAAGCAACCTCTTTTTGTGTAAAGTATCTTTCCTCCCAGATTGTGCAAGGCTCCTACTTCACAGCCCCCAGGCCATAAACAAGGATCTGAGGGAACAGGAGCAACACAAGACCCCCTCGGATGCCAAGATCCAATGCCAAAGCCGGCACCTCAGGCCTCACCCAGGGCACCACCAAAGGGAGGCGCAGATGTGCAGGTGGCGGGCATCCACTGTCCCAGAGCTCAGCAGTCAGAGAGTAGTCCAGACTGTCAGGGGAGCTTGCTGAGCTGCCCCCAGCAGCAGAGGAAGCCGACTGAGTACCTGCAGGTAGAGGGACAGTTCCTCAGCTGCACCTGACTCCCCCTTTGGGAGCATTCCTAGTTCTAATCTGCAAAAGCCCCACGCTCTGCTTCATCAGTAACATATTCCTCAGAGAGCAGGGATGGGAGGAACCCTGCAGACGCTCCCACCACCCAACCGGACCACAGTCATAAGACATGCTCTTTCAGATCCCCACAGAGGGAGGAGAAGCACACATCACTTTACCCAAGCCGCCACAGCAGCCTGAGCCCTGGACACTGCATAGCCTTCAGCTCCCAAGGGAAAATGCACGTTTATCTCGCGCCACTGGCTGGTGTTTTGCCACTGACCACTTAAGCCAAGCCTCCAGTGACATGGGGGTTCTCACCTGGGAAAGCATCTGTGGCCTGAAAACCAGCTTCCTGCATACTGCTCCCCGACGGGCTATGTCCTGACTCAAGCTGTCCTGGCGGAGGAAACCACCAGGTGGGGTCTCAGGTCACCTCCATCACGGGCCTGCAGTCCAGCTTCTGGGAGCATCTGGTACCCACTGGCCCTGCTCCCACAGCCCGAGAGCAGAAGGTGCCTGGAGGGCATGCAGTCACCTCAGCTGTCCAGCCAGTGATTCGAAGCCATGGTGAGCCTGAGCGTGGGGCCCCGTCCTGCCGAGACCCACATTCCCACCTCAAAGCAAAGGCTGCCTCAGTCTTGCAGCAGCCAGCATCTTCCTGTCTCAGTCTCAGCAGAGGAGCCCAGCCTGGTCTGCTCCTCCCATCTTTGCTTCACCTCCGTCCTCGCTGAAATGGAAAAGAAAGAAGTCACTTTTCAGAATACCTACAGACCTTTTCCTGAGGACCAAATCTTAATGGTTCACCCACAGAACTCAAAAAGAAACCGCCACCCAGAGCTGTGCCAGGACCTGCTGTGGGCACGGGGTGAGGGTGAGGGAGGCCTCCTGCTGCACCCAGGGCACCAGAGTGCTACCATCCATGCCTCCCCCAAGAACAGCCTCGATGGCCCTGTGCTCCAAACATTTCCCCACTGGGCTCCTGAGTCCCAAGACATGGGGATATCTGGTTCACATGCACTGCTATCCGCACTTCTGAAAGGACAAATCAGAGTTGAGGCTGGAGGGTTTTTTAAAGTGACTCTTACATAAGATCAAGTGATGTTTGTCCCAAGGATAC